CCCATGTGATTTATGGGGATCGAAGCTGGAAATAAGATTAACTGCCTGTCAACGAACTCCGTTCCGGTGCTCGTAGCTATAATCCAGAACAATTCCAGAAGTGAATCACTACGAGAGTTCGAAAAAAAAAAAAAGAAAAATCCCAAAGTTACCACTTCAACCATATATCCATTTAACTGAAAAAGTCCCTAATACAACTGAAAAGAGCCTGACCAGCCCTCAATCCCAATGGATATCTTGAAAACACTAAACAGGAATTTCGCTTGTACTGCTTTCTGTCGCCAGTTAGAAAAAAACCATCTTTTTTTTTTGAAAGAAACAGAATACAAATTTATATTACAGCTGAATCGATGAAACGACAAAAAAAAAGACAGCGCTCTCAGGGAAAAAAAAAAGAATACAAACGAAAAGTTATAGACACTTTATTGGAGAGCGAGAACAACGGAGGGAAGTCGAGGGAGCGTACTGGGGGGAATACGGGAGCAAAGGAGATTGGGGTCAGACGACGCGGGCTCGATAATAACCAATAAATAACAGCAGAATCTGGAAGAATGGATACTTTCAGCAACAACCACCGTTCTTCTTTTCGTTCACTGGCTGAGATCCTCCAATGCGCACCGATGGACCTGTGCCAACTTGCTGAACTGGACCCATCCGGCTCTTGATTTCGGATGCCATTGTCATAAATGCCTGCAATCTCTCAAATCAAAAAAAAAAAACTCCATTGCACATCTTAACTGTGGTAAGAGAGGGAGAAGCAATGAAAATGCAATGAAAGTGCTTTTCAAGGACAGGGATGTCCGAACAATCCGTGTAGAGAACAATCACATTTATTTGAAAACGTGGAAGAACCTTTGGGGGAACTAATGCATTTTACTGCCAACAGAAATCAATGAGATTAGTGCAAAAACGCATGGTCACACCGGTGAGCCTGATGCGTTCCAGCCTGGGTTTTGTTTAAAGCAACGCTACTCCCGCGCTTCACTTTGCAATAGAGCAGCTTAACTAGCAGCAATTCGCAAACAGTATACGATCATTACAACGTTGCTAAATGGTAAGATCTTTTAAATCTGGTTTTTTCAAAAATAAACTAAAAACGGGTTTATTTTCTAGTACCAGCACAAATTTACAATGAAGATAAAACAACGAACAGCAAAAATACCGGCTTTTTTTTAGCAGTGTTTGATTCAAAATCAATGATTCAAAGCTGATGCTATGTGCCACTTATCACTACAACAAATAAGCTACTACTTATTACTAATACTTATTGATTCTAAGCAAGAAAAAGCTGTTGAAAAATGTCCCTTTTTAAAAAAGAACGAAACTTTTTATAACCATTTCTATAGTGACCAGTTCTCTCATTCGCTGCAA